TAATAGTGTTAAGAGTAAGTTAGTTAGAAGTTTGTTAAATAGTATAGTTAGGAGTTTAGATAGATGTTAGACCTTATGAGTAAAATGAATGTAAATATAACTGATAACAATCCCTGGGGTGTTATTGATAATTACTGGGACTTGGAAAAACCTCAGGGTATTTTCCTCTATTGCACTGCAGTTTGTTTATTGTTACTGTTCATAGTTATCTGGCGCCCACGCCTGTAAAAAGCTGATAAATAAAAAGTTATCGTTAAAAGCATTTTAAATAAAAGTTAAAAGATATTCAGTACAAGGTTGCCTGTTTCTGCACCTCTCTGGAGCTGGCCACATTCTCGAACCTTCCATTTTACCTCAACACCCTTCCCTTTTAAGTCCTTCAACAAATGCCAACCCTCTCCAACTTAGCTTCCTGAGACTCTTCCCCAAGAAAGGAAATCCCCATTACTTCTCTTTACTGGCTGTCTTCCCACACTGAGCTCCTCCCTCTCCCTTCTGTGCTGGCTCTGATCCTTTCACAGCTGGGATCACTAATTGTAATTAAATCACCAGATCAGGATCAGCAGCGGGGGAGGGTTAAGTCACCACACAGGTAAAGCAAACCTGACTCACTTTAAATGGCCAGTCACACCATGATGGGGCCATCTTAGATTTTTTTTTGCCTACATTGTGAGGTCCCACTCCAATCTCTCTTTTGCCAGATCCATAATCTTTACTCCATATACTGTGCTAAAAACAAAATTGAAATACAAAAAATCTGATGAATCATGTTGTTTGTTTGTTCATGAGCATGTATGAAGCTGATATATTGAAGACTAGCAGATGTACCAGCATTGCTAAGGGCTTTAAGTGAAGTAATGTTTTTTTTTTCAGTTTGTGTAGAAAACAAAAGGAAAGTGAACATGCTTTAAATTACTGTATTTTTCAAAAATGAAGGAAAAAAGAAGTATGCATTAATAAAAGAAGGAAAGTGATTCAAACAATAGACAGGCCTTCTTGGTAGACAATATGTGCAGATTATCTGTCTTTTGCTAGATTAAGAAGGGTGTGGAGGTGCAGGAGCGAGGGCGGTGGGGGGTGACAACACAAGATTTGGACTGTGGGGGGACTCAAGGCAGGGGATAGGTGTGCAGAAATCTAGGTGGGGGTTTGGGGGGGCTCAGGACAGGGATGGGGGTCACCGGAGTTATGGCAGGCGATAGGGGGTTCATGTTAGCAGGTGGGAGTGAAAGACTGGGGGAAAAGCTTACTGGGGCCACCCAAGGAAGCAAAGGTGATACTGCTTCAGTGGCAGCTCCTCTTGGGGGGCCAGAGCTGCATTCCCCAGACGGCGACTCCTCCGGGGGGAAGGTTCTGGAGGCTGACCTTGGCCTCCAGCACCCCCTGCCCCAGCCTGCAGGCTTTCTGGAAAGAGGAGAGAGGGTCCTGGGTTGGCCCCAGCATATCTGGGAGGTAAGGTGAGTCTCAGGAGGCTCACTTATGTAATTGTAGTGACACTCTAATTTTTTCCTACTTCCTGTCCCACTTGTCTAGACTCCTCTCTGTCCCTCCACAAAATCTGGCCTATGTTGATGTGAAAGCCTTTTCTTCCAAACAGTCTGTAGATAGAGGCAGTGCTTTCCTGACTCCCTGACCCTTCCTATCATTTCAAATCTCAAATAAAAACAACTCTTATCTCTTCTCTTGCCTAAATCTTTTAACAGATACTTTAATTTAGATCTTCACTATATAATTCCCAGACAAAATCTTTGTTAAAATAGAATCAGAAGTTAGAATGTGGAAAAGACTTAGTCTATCTAGACTTGATCTACCTCCATACCAGTGAGGGATTATTCCCTATTGCACATTTACTAAGTATTGTGACAAGCCTATTTTGACAAGCCTAGCTTTAAATATCCCTAGCATATTAGCTTCTGGTGCTTCTCCTGAGAGACTATTTCACAGTCTAATAGATCTTAGTGTCAGGATATTAATCCTAAATGTGTTCGTTCTTAATTTCATCTCAAGATTTAACGATACTCTAGTATATATTGTAGGCCCCGATCTATTATTAGAGCCACATGAATAGATTCAGGCTCTTATGTGGCACCCTCCTCGAGGATATCACTGTAGTATCAGGGCCTTAAATAGTTCCTTTATTTATTTGGTGTTTACCCCTTTTCAAATGTTTGTCAGCTTATACTGTATTCACCCATTCTCTTCTCATCACCTAGCCAAGTAATACAAAGTAGCCAAGACTTTCAAAAGTGAGTAGTGATTTTGGATCCCAAACAGATTATAAGGCTGAGCACTTTCTGTAAATCAGGTCTCCTTAAGCTATCTCAAGTTGGGCACCAAAAAATGTAACCATTTAAAATGGCTAGTTGCGTTTGAAAATCTTTTCCAGTCTGTATTTAACTCTTTCCTTTTGAGTCAATCCCTCAGTCCCTTTCTCATTTTTGTTCTTCTCTACACTTCCTTAAGTTTCTCAGTACCAATCTGTTAATAGAATGCCTGAAACTGAATAAAATAAAGAAGGCATGCTAGTACAGTGTAGTTTGTAGCTTGTGTGTAAGGTACTGAGAGGTCCACATGAGTTTTCTTTAAATGGGGCCCATTAAGTGTCAAACCATTAGCAGCAAGTCTCATAGTGTCACAACTTCATCTTTTATGAACAAAGAGACAAGCCAGTATGGAGCATGTGTGGCTTGAGATTGTTTTGGGGCTTTAACTTGATATTTTGATAGATTTTCAAAGGAACAGCAAAAAACATGTTCCTGACAGGAGAACGATGCAAAGCCAAACTTCAAGTCGCCGTTCCAAAGGCTGGTTGTAGTACAGCTTCTCAACAAATCAGTTGAACTAGTTACTTTAAAATGGTGAAAACAACATAATTTTCTCTAATCTTGTCTTCAGAATGGAAATTTGGCAAATTTATAAGCAAGTGAAAACAGGCGTCTTATAATGAAATGTGCCCATATGTTGCATATAGATTCTGGTTTCCGTAACTATAGGACAGTGTTTCCCAAATGGTGTTCTGCAGAACACTAGGGTTCTGCAAACTGAATATAGGGGTTCCGTGAGAAAATTCCATTACAACCTGAATTATTGCAATGGAATGGTATTTTCATTCATTTATGAATTTTATTGAAAACCATTTTCATTTGTTTGCCACGATAAGTGCCCCTGTGTAATGCCAGGATAGCCAGAGAGTGAGGACGATCATGTCACTATTCAGCACTACACGTGCAATCAGTCAGGGGTTCCACAAAATTCTTTTGAGTTCAAAAGGATTCCATGGCCAAATAAAATTGGGAAACACTGCTGTAGGAAAACAAAGTGTGACTGGGGGAGCTGGTGAGAGCTTACTTTCCTGCTACCCTAAAACAATGTGGAGAAGACATCAGCCAGCCAGGCTGAAGGAAAAAGGACATCCCTTATAGGGATGTGGAGGACTAGTCTACAGGATAGTCCTTAGTTCGAAATAACTGTTACACCTCATTAGTTTGAATTACCGTTTCACTGCCGCGTGTAGCCGTGGGCAGTTACTTCGGACTAGTGGAATTAAAAATGGTGACCGGACGGGAACATGCAAATAAAGCCCGGGATATTTAAATCCTAGGCTTCGTTTGCAACTTTGAATGCCTACATTAGCCTCCCTAGTTTGAACTAGGAGGCTAGTGTAGACATACCCTCAGAGGTTGGAATAAGAGGAGGCTGCAAATGAAACACCTGAGTAACAGAGAAGAATGGTAAGTGATTTCTCTGATCTCACTGGTAAAATGTAGCTGCTGGTATAGGGTCTTAGACCTCCTGGTCTTTCTGTCTACCTAGACTCCTAACCTTACTGAACTCTTGGGTCCTCTCTCCCACCCTGACTTAGACTTTTGGAGTTCCCAGCTTATGGTTTCCTTGGCAGGTTTACTCTTGGAGTGAATTGGGAGGCATCTTCTTCTCTCTCCTAGGAGTAAGGGAGCCCCCAGGATAAAGTTGCACATGGCAGGTCTTGCATACTTCTCTCAGTCAAGGGGACAGCTGGAGTAACAGAGCTGGAGTACTGTGTCCAGTTCTGGGCGCCACATTTCAAGAAAGATGTGGAGAAATTGGAAAGGGTACAGAGAAGAGTGACAAGAATGATTAAAGGTCTAGAGAAGCCTATGAAGCCAGGCTTCATGAACTGGGCTTGTTTAGTTTGGAAAAAAGAAGATTAAGGGGGGACATGATAGTGGTTTTCAAATATCTAAAAGGGTGTCACAAGGAGGAAGGCGAAAATTTGTTCCTCTTGGTTTCTGAGGACAGGACATGGAGTAATGGGCTTAAAGTGCAGCAGGGGAGGTTTAGATTGGACATTAGGAAAACATTCCTAACTGTCAGGGTGGTCAAATATTGGAATAAATTGCCAAGGGAGGTGGTGGAATCTCCCTCTCTGGAGATATTTAAGAACAGGTTAGATAGACATCTGTCAGGGATGGTGTAGACGGAGCTTGGTCCTGCCTTGAGGGCGGGGGGCTGGACTCGATGACCTCTTGAGGTCCCTTCCAGTCCTATGATTCTATGATTCTATGATTCTATGACAGGGAATCCTCCTCTTCTTCTTAGAATAGTGATAGAAATGGAGCCGTGTTAGTCTGGGGTAGCTGAAGCAAAATGCAGGACAATGTAGCACTTTAAAGACTAACAAACCACTAATAAAGACTAATAAACCATCTTGTTAGTCTTTAAAGTGCTACCTTGTCCTGCATTTTGCTTCCTCTTCTTAGGGCTGGGATTTCAGGCACGGATCTTCTCCCGGCCTTCCCCCAGCGAGGCGTCTGCCTCCCCCTCGTGTGGCAAGGGGGTTCCTACCTGGGGGAAGCAGGGAGCTGCGCTCTCCCTCTCTTGCTGTGGGGCAGTCAGTGCAGCTCAGCCAGGCCCGGAGGTTGGCTTAGTAACCAGACAGCCGAGACCTGCCAGGGCCCCAGCACGGGGCGGGCTGGGAGGGAGAGAGGGAGGGGGGAGAGCGGAGCCCAGCCAGCCTGTCTCGGCGGCGAGCGGGGCGTGTGCGGAGGAGGGAGCGAGGAGCCGGCGGGGAGGCCGCTGGTTCTAATGGTTGCGGCGCTGGAACCCTACTAGGCTCGCGTGGCAGGAGCAGCGCGGAGAGCCAGGCGGGGTCCCAGGCAGGGAGGCGAGCGTGTGGCGGTCTCTGCCGCCGCCTTACGGAGCGGGGGGTGCCCGGGCTGGGGGAGATGCTGCTGCCCGGGCTCTCCTGCAGACTCCAGCCCCAGCCAGCACCACTGCGGGGGGAAGGGAAAGACTCCGACTCCTCATCTCCAGCCCCCCCCTGCGCGTTAGAAACCCACTGGTAAGTCTGCGACGGGCTGGGCTGGGCTGGGCTGTGCTTCCCCCTTTGGAGTTGTTCTTAGCGAGGAGCCCGAGCTGCGAAGTTTGGATCGAGACCTTCCACTTTCCCAGGCTTTGGGAGGGGATTTGATAATGGGGTTTCCTCTGCCCCCTCTCTCTTATTCGAATGACTTCTTATAATGATTGGTGCATCGTGTCTAGATGCTGTGTAGATGGACCAAAGCCATGGAACAAGACTTTGGGTTTTTATGCCTCCGGATCTGGTTTTAGGAGACGTAACTGGCTAGATGGGGAGGTTTGCTGTGTTTGAGAGGTGGGGGGAGAAGAGCTGATTAATGGGTAGGCAGCTCCCTGGAGAAACCCAGCAAATTGGCTGGGTGCATGTGGGTGGTTTATGGAGCAGTGAGAGACTTCCAAGGCATCCTGAAGAAGAACTAAAATGCAGGACAATGTAGCACTTTAAAGACTAACAAGATGGTTTATTAGATGATGAGCTTTCGTGGGCCAGACCCACTTCCGAAGAAGAACTAGGCTTTATGGGAAGGGGTTAGAAAACAGGCTGTTCTGCCGTAAGGAACTTTATACAGTTTTCTTTACTTTCGCAAGGATTTTCAGGGAAGTGGGTGTGGGTGTGGGTTTGCATTTGTTTTGCATGAAACTCCTTTTTGGTGTTAGTCATTTGGCTCCACTTTCTTAGGTTTGTGAATGAAAGCTCCAGCAAAGAAAGAGCTTCTCCTGGATAGGAAAACTCAGTGAATATTAGTCACTCCAGTTGTCTGTGTGCAAGGTTAAATAACAGGCCTGTCTGTTTCTGATTTCTTAAATGATTGTGGAAATTCTATGTCGCATGAGAAGAATGCAGGGAGGAGGGAACCTAACACCACATGAGGCAAGCGGTTTTATTATTATTGCTGTTTTTCCATTACTTCCTGTCCAAAGAGCTCTAGGATAACTAGACTTCAGGGTTCCCAAAACCATAAATGTACATACCAGGAAAAGAGGAATTGCTCTGTATTTTCAATAAGAGCTGAACAACTAAAGGGTTTGTGTTAAGGCCCTAAAAGTAAAAACAAACAAAGAAACTTCTTCTGTAAGAAAATATTCATGCTTAACTGCTATTCAGATTTTTGAGGGGTGGGAGATAGTAATCAAGAGTGAAGAACCTGTGAAGACAAATATCATATGTTTCATTGGCCTTTTTCTTCATATGATCAGCGTACCATAGGATAATCTCTCTCAGATTGTAGACTGTGTAATTCTCTTTAAAAAATTCATTTTTCAAACAACAAAGACAGTGATGTCATAGGGAGCTGTCACGTACTTCTCTGTACCCCTCCTGTGTATTGGGGAGCTGGTCTTGTGTAGGCGGGCTCTAAATTAAACGTCATGAAGACTGGAGATATAAAGATAGCTGCAGATTATCTTTGTCTAGGCATCTGATTAGGGTGTACAATCCTGAAAGGTAAATATAAAAGTCCTTCATTACGGAATTAGCCATGATAGTAAAAATGATGAGTTACCAAATCCCTGAAATGGAAAGATGGCATGTATTGTGATTGTACAGTATAACTGGGTCAGTGTCATGCAGTTATGCCAGACTTTCTGCTGGTGCTGGAATGTCATGAGGAAAAGCTGCCATTGAATACACAAGTATTTGATTCTGAAAGATTTCAGTTAGTATTATAAGATCTGATTCTTCAACGTGGGGCTAAACACCCCCATTTCAGGATCAGGCCTGTCATTTTATTTCCTCTCTACAAATTTTTGCGTTGGGAAACCATGGATATATGTAAAAAGGCTGCTGCAGAAAGCTGGAGCTGAAATTGAGAAATAAGTAAATTGAAATTGAGAAACTAGATCGTAGATAGAAAAGCATTTTAAAGAGTAATATTATTTTATAACAGTGGCATTCAACCTTTCTTCATCTACAGACCCCTAAAAATGTGAAATGGAGGTGTGGACCCCTTTGCAAATCTTACACAGAGTCAGAAGACTCCAGGGCAGGGATGGGAAAAATGGCCTCAGCAGGCCAAATCCGGCCCGCCAAGCGGGTTGATCTTGCCTGTAGAGGCTCTGCCACTCCTCCGCCCCCAAGCCAATTAGGGTCTGAGGGCGCGGGGAAGCACACAAAGTTTCCTCCGCTCTGCCAGGAGCAGACTTTGGGTGTGTGCAAAGTGTCCTCCCACTACCAGGGGCATGGGCGCCTACGGAGAACCTCTGGGGGGGAGGGCAAAGTCACTCCCCCACCCCAAGACCAATTATGGTCTGGGGGTGGGGAGCAGTGAAGTATCCTGCCCCTGCCCCTTCCGCTTGAGGTCCTATCCCTTCCGGTGCAGCCTGGGGCCACTTCAAAATGTCTGAAGTGGCCCCCGGCAAAAAATTATTGTCCACCCCTGCACCAGGGGGTCCACATAATCCAGTTCAAAACCACTTATATAAAAGCAACTGATAGGAGACAAATTAATGCTGTTTTTACTGTGATTTGTTTGGTAGTTCATTTGCATCACAGTATTTTGTCACTTTATGACTAGTAAATCTTTCCATTTATTTATCCTTCATGTAAAGCATCTGTATTTTATCCTGCCTACTTCTTTCCTCTGAAACATGGACAGTTTTTCTGCAAATGCTGCTTACAAATAAGAATATCTTAAAATAAAATGAGTGATAAAAACAAACTATCTCAAAAGTAGAGTTTGGGGGTTTGATTTTGTTGTTTTTGAAGAGGCACAATTTTTACACTGGTAAAAAAGGATAATGAACATTTTTCAGCGTTGTCTTGGGGTTTTTTTGGGGGGGGATTAAGTACTGAATATTATTAAGGGGGGACATGATAGTGGTTTTCAAATATCTAAAAGGGTGTCACAAGGAGGAAGGTGAAAATTTGTTCCTCTTGGTTTCTGAGGACAGGACATGGAGTAATGGGCTTAAAGTGCAGCAGGGGAGGTTTAGATTGGACATTAGGAAAAAATTCCTAACTGTCAGGGTGGTCAAATATTGGAATAAATTGCCAAGGGAGGTGGTGGAATCTCCCTCTCTGGAGATATTTAAGAACAGGTTAGATAGACATCTGTCAGGGATGGTGTAGATGGAGCTTGGTCCTGCCTTGAGGGCGGGGGGCTGGACTCGATGACCTCTTGAGGTCCCTTCCAGTCCTATTATTCTATGATTCTATGAGTGTATTAATGTTTTTTTTTTTTAAATAATGCCAAAATGGATGCTAAACACATTGCACACATAAACAAGACAGGTACCTTCCTCAGCTAGTTTGCAGTCTAAGATCCTGATGCTGCAAAGGCTTAAGCATGCACTTACATTCATACACTTGGAAGTAGTCTTGAGGTCCCTTCCAGTCCTATTATTCTATGATTCTATGAGTGTATTAATGTTTTTTTTTTTTAAATAATGCCAAAATGGATGCTAAACACATTGCACACATAAACAAGACAGGTACCTTCCTCAGCTAGTTTGCAGTCTAAGATCCTGATGCTGCAAAGGCTTAAGCATGCACTTACATTCATACACTTGGAAGTAGTCTATT